AAGACAAGACACTGACTAATGCTAGGTGCTGGTGAATCCCTGATTCAGTGAGCCCTGCCTGGTACTACTGCTCACAACCCCCACTGGAGGAGTGAACGGGAGGTATGTTACTTATAAATGCAGGCCATTGTTTCCTGGAAGAGATTTATCCTCACAACAAAGCATGATGATAAAACGTAATTTATGTGTATAGATCTCCAAGGTTTGGGTTCAAAGACATCACAGGGCGAGTCAGACACGAGGCCTGTGAGCGCATCATGCACCTTCCGGTGAGGCTGTAAAAGGTTCTGACATCACTGACAACCAATTATTAAAAGATACTGAGATTTTGTGGACAAAAACTCTTTGGAACAAGTCCTTAGAGGCAAAACCTGTGATCCCAGATTTACTACCCTCACTAGAAATTTCTTTGACATATCCTTTCAGGTAGCCTCTGGAAAATTCCACCCACTTGTTCCTACTGGCGAAGGAAGCAGAAGCTAATGTAGTGGGAAGAAAACGACATCTTTGTTTTTGGACAGAAAGACTCATGATTCAGGTTTTATAACATTTGCAGTATACTGATTTATACTGGTTAAAGAACAACAGTTGGCTATTAAGTTGGGGTGGGAATAAAGAACTACAACAAAATGAAATACCACATTTGAATGGAAGGATGCTGCAGTCTGAAATAAAAGGGAAATTTAGAATCCCTGTTTGTATGCTTTTGGATTGCCTGCAACAAATAGCTGGCAGGAGTACAAGAGAAAACTTGAAAAGCCATGGGCCAATTCATTACTTTAAAAATGTTCAGTTTGGCAAAAAAACAATTCTGTCTATAAAGCAGGTATATAGAGAGTCTCTGGCATAAATCTTTGTCGAAAAGGAAATTCAAAAAAAACTATTCAATTCCAATATTTGTATTTGTTTATCAAAGAAGTATAAACTAAAGCACTAGTGACTTATCATTGTACATCTAGGAGAGAAGCACACTAGATAAATGGATTCAAACAGCCTCTGCAGACCAAGAAAAGGGGAAAGAGCTACACAACTATGTCACCTTCTGGTTGTGTTGTACCTGAGGAGGAGCCTTCGGAGAAACTGAACAATATATATTATTGACCACAGAGGTTTAAACTCCTTGACACAGTAATTCTACCTGGAGGATACTTTTGTTTTTCTTTTAACTTAATGGAAAATAAAATAGAAATCTGAACAGCTACATAATGAAACCAGCCTCTCTGCAGGCATTATGGGCGATGGACCAGGAAGATAAACCACGGAAGTGATCATTTAGTAAACTGTGGCATAGCAACTGGTTGGATTAACTCTGTAACAAATAAAAGTGATAATGAGAAAGTCTATGTGTACAACTGGAAAATACAGATAGAGTTGTTATGAGCATAAAGCAGATTGTTGGACTATATTTACTAATAAAACTATGTTCAATTGTGCATTGTTTGAGGGAAGTTGCAAGAGATGACACAAAATGAACATGAAAGAAGGCGTGTCAGGATAGGAAATTATAAAACGTGCCATTTGTTAAACTACCTTTAACATCAAGTTTATATTGTTTAAAAGGCAAAAACCTGTTTTTAAGAAGAGACAGTCCTATTCTTCTTGCACCATCCAATAGCAATGAAGACACCTGACATAAGTGAATAGTTAAGAGAGTGTGGGCAGGGAAGTTCATCAGCAGATGGTAATACACACGAAGGATTGCCCTAGGGAAAAGAATTTAATAAAAACAAAGCCAGGCTAAATGTTATGAGAAGATTTTAATAATTCATCCTGAATTCTATTCCTGCTAATCTCGCATTCACTGCTGTATGTAGCTCTGCCATCCAATTCAGGTTGGCATTAAAACATCTAGACATTAATGCTAATTAAATCTGCCTTTTCATTCTGAAAAACCACATTCTTCTCTTTAATATCAAACATATGCAGAATCATTCAATACTCTAAAAATATTTTATATTCTCTTGTTATTTTGCAAATACAATCAGAAAAGGCAGGAAACTGACTAATGGGGATCCCATATTACTGACCATTTCTTATTTTGATTTTAAAAGTAAATGGTAAAAAACAGTTTGTGCAATATTTATTCTGACTCATGTTGCGAACTTCTCCCCTTTGTCAGAACCTGAAGGTAAGCCTCCATGTTTTAATGTTGAGTGCAGGTGTGGATCTACTTGGGTTTCTCCCTAGCTGTCCGAATCATAATTACGAAGGATTATTTTAAGAACGGTCTTTATGTGAGATTTCTAAATTCAATATAAATTAGCACATTTTATTGTCATGAAAGATGTAAGCATAGCCTTCACTGAGAGATTAAAAGATAATGTTATTTTTTTTTTAAGATTTATTTATTTATTTATTTGAGAGAGAGAATGAGATAGAACATGAGAGGGGGGAGGGTCAGAGGGAGAAGCAGACTCCCTGCTGAGCAGGGAGCCCGATGTGGGACTCGATCCCGGGACTCCAGGATCATGACCTGAGCCGAAGGCAATCGCTCAACCAACTGAGCCACTCAGGAGCCCAAAGATAATGTTAAACTCCCATTTTATTCTGCGTAACAGGAAAATAAATCTGTACCATTTTCAAATAGCATTAACTTTAAATTCAGCATTTGCCATGGAGTATTTGTGCCTGTACCTCAGTAAATGTCTCTGAAATGAACTAAAGCTACATTTATTTTAAATAGTAGAAATGAAAAAGTCAAACTACTTTGAAATTTCAATGTCACTTGCGGTCCTAACACACCAATCAACGAATATGGTAATTATAAAACAGCTGTGAGACATCAATCTATTTCTCCCAGGTAACATTAATCAGATTCTAAAATTACTCATGGGCTAGCAGAGAGACTGATTGGGACCACCTGGTCATGGCTCTAGGATTAAATGCAGATTTAACTGCATTAACTTCCAGTAAATTAATGTGGAGGTAAGAGGGTATGCTTTTAGTTTCAAAGTCCGGAAGTGTCCCCTTTGTGGTCACAGCGTATCCAGTCCTCAGACAACTATGATCTTGGACCGGGGTAAGATAGGAACACCAATAATCAAGGAAATGGCACTTGGTGAGGCCACAATGGCCTCGATGCAGTTCGTTGAGCTCCCATGTGAGCTCCATTTGTACTGCTGCTCCCTAGGATCGAATGCTCTTTCTCTGAGATATCTGCATAAATCACTCCTTCATTTCATACAAGTCTCTGATGAAATCCCTTGTTGGATGGTGCTACCCCTTCTTCCAATCCTGTCACCTTCTACCCCCCTGACTTCTGTTCTTTTTTCTATTTATTCCATCTACCACATTACATATGTATTTGTTTACACTATCATCTGTTACCCCCAATATGATGCACACTGTTTGAGAAGAGGGACTTTAATTTTTCAATGCCGTATCTCCAGCGACTAGAGCAGGGCTGGCACATAATTGGTGCTCAGTGCATATTTACTGAGTGAATGAATAATGAATACATAAATGAGTGAGTGAATAAGTGGGAACAGAAGGAGTGAACATGAGCTGATCAGAAGGGAGAGATCACTTCTCTGCTAGTAAACAAATTATGAAATAATATTTTATTCATTTGGTTGCAGATGATATTTTCAATTAAGCTTATTACAGCTTGCAATAGGGCACAGAGTACACAGCGATTCAAATAAAGGAGAAAATTTTGTATATTTTGTCAACCACAAAATATAATGCTCCTTTCAGAGAAATAAGGTCTTGCCATATTTTGTAAGCAAGAACACACTGTGTAGGACTTGAAAACTAGAATTCGGGCATACCAAATTGAATGGAATTTTACAGATGAGAACCTGCTGCCTTGGATCATTTTTCTCACTTTTTACCTCTTCACCCTGACTCATCAAAACCCAGTTCAAACATCACCTTCTTTAGGGAAAGGTCTACCCATCTCAGAGATCTGTTTTCCTTCTGAATCTTGGTTTTCGGCTGTAACTTTCTGAGGTCATTTACATTTTCTTGCAGTGGAGGTCTATTTGTTCTTATTCTGTTATCTCATTATATCTTCTTACTTTTGGTTATCTGTTGTTCATGGTGTCATGCTGTATTTACGCCTCTAACATGAGCATCATTGCTTTATGATGTTACACGGCCAACAGTCAAACTGTAGTCCTTTGCATAGGTCAAATACCACGTAAATCTGACTACATAATACCACCATCCGCAAAATCTAACTGGCCCAGTTCCAAGAAGAGACTAGGATGGGTGACAGGACACTACTTGCCTACTCAGATCACAATGAGGACCAAATTCTGTTTTATTATTTTTACTACATGGTTTCACTTCCTTGTGAAAATGGTGAGGTGACAGAGGAGGAGCACGTGGTTATGGGGAAGGACTTGACATGGGGTCCTCCACCCCCATTTTGCAGCTGATGCAGGTGTATGAGTTCACAAGCCTACCTTGGGTGTCCCAGACTGAGCACAGCTGCCTAAGACAAACCACCTGCACTGGACCCATCTAAGATCTCCCCTTCCATTTTCAAGAACGTATATTGTGTGGGCTCCTGGATCTAATTTTGCCAAAAGTAGAAAGACAGTAGTAACCCCAAGGCAGCACCTACCTCACAACCAGTGGATATAGAAACCCAAACCACCGAAGGTGGAATGTCCATCAAGTGCAGTGAAAAAGGTTTTGTTTAGCTCCTTGACAGCTCCTACCAGACAAGTTCCTACAGTGAATAAAATCGATGTACAAGTTTGTGCCTAACGTACAAATCTTGTAATATAAATGCAAGGGTGATAAGATTCTGGGCAGATAAGCTACAGTGATATAAATGTGGGATGGCATTCATTTGTATGAACAAATAGCCACCGAACCTAAAACTAAAGCCAGAAAATACCGTGTCACCATGATATGATTTCCCAAAGCTTATTCCAAATACATCCGAGTCCTCTGAACACTTCTGGTTACCATTTCCCGTAACCACAATGTAAGGAAGAACCTCCAGATGCAAGTGGGCACAAGAGAGGCAGGCAGGGCAGGCCACGTACCTGTGCACGCCGCTGTTGCACATGATGATGTGGCAGGCCCCCAGCCGGTTGCACAGCTCCGAGGACACGGACAGCAGCCCCACCCCGGAGGCGCTGCAGGCTGTGTTTGCACAGGCAGCCGTGCGCTTGGATCTGATAAATGAGGCTACCAGCCGATAAAGTTCATCCAAAGCATTGAGAGGCCTCATGAGCTGCAGAAAAAAGTGATGAACGTAACGTCCGACACGTTTAGTCAGAAGAAATGCTTTTAGATGGCATACAATTCACTGCTGTTCTAACGTTTAATGAAGAGTGTAAAATATTTTCATTGTGGAGGTAATGGAATTGGGAGACTACAGATATCTGTAATTACACATTGTCTGAGTACAGCAGCAGAAAAAGTAAATAAGGGAGGTTTGTAAAGGGCAAAGCATCAATAAATGCCATCATCTCTTTTTACCTTATCTACATAGGCAGCTTTGGATGTGGAGTTTGGTGGTGAATTTGACTTGTCCAAGTAGAAGGCCCTGTAAGAATCCAAGCAATAAGTGATCATTTATTGTTAGAAAAATTAAAAGGCATGAAGACATGCAAGTTTCACTGACTTCCTTTTGAAGACAAATGAATAAACAGGTTGGACACTTGGATGGGTGGGAGTGCAAAAAAAAGTCAACAGTTTTACATTATGAAAAAATGACTAATGAGGCACCTGGGTGGCTCAGTCAGCTGAATGTCTGGCTCGATTTCAGCTCAGGTCATGATCTCAGGGTTGTGAGATGGGAGCCTCGGCTTCTAGCTCTGCACTCAGCGGGGAGTCTGCTTGAGATTCCCTCTCTCTCCCTCTCTCTCTGCCCCTAACCCCCACCCCTGCACACACACACTCTCTCTCTCAAATAAATCTTTAAAAAAATTTTTTTTAAATGACTAAAGCCACCACCAGCTCCATTACACACTGTGTGGCCTCAGAGACATTACTTAATTTGTGTATGCCTCAATTTCCTCTTTTGTAATTTGGGGATAACATTAGCTTCTACTTCACAAGCCTGCTAAGAAGATTAAATGAGTTAATGCAAATAAAACCTTTAGAATAGTACATAGCACAGAGTGGGTGCCATTAATATTTTTAATAATTTATATTATTACAAAAGTTGGAGAAATATATTTTCTTGTGACTACTGGAGAATTACCTAGTTTTCATTTATTTGCAAGATTATAAAAGTAATACTCAAAAAACTAATTTTAAACAGAGTACTGAGTTGAATCCTTTCACCCACTAAGCTGTGCTCAGACTGGAAGTTAGACCCTCTTCAAGGGTACACTTGTTCTTTTTGTCACCAGGATGCAATGTGGCACTAAGTATTTTAATACATGAAGCTGAATCCTAGTGACATGCAATTATCCAAAGAATATTGCTGAGTTTTGCTTAGCAAAAGTTTTAGTATATTATTTAGCCAAGGCTCAATACTAAACTGACATTGTAAGGGAATGACCCATGAAGACAGGATACATTTAAGTTATATTTAATCTACTATCTATTTTTGATGAAGTGAAATTATTTTCAAGATGTGAACACTTAATATCAATGTACCAAAATAGGTTCCATAATATTAGAATGATTGTCAGATAAGATAGTGAAATAAAACTGATTAGACTAATGTTTCGCAGCACCATTTAGAACCTCAAAGTACCATCAGATTATTATCAAATGCATGAGTAGTAGTGGGCAAAATCAGTGAGACAGAACTTTATGCCCAGAGTCCCCCTCCATGCACATATGTACACGTGCACACGTACACTGCTATTCCCATTAGCACTGTACCTAATAATGATGTTTGCTTTTGTCTTTTTAAGATAAAGTAGCATGGCTTAATCAATTTTTACACTTTAAATAAGGAAAATTTTAAGAGTCACTTCCAAAATGAAAATTACGCTCATTCTTACTGAGAATTAGCTTATTCATCTCTCAAATACAAATTCAAACAACAAAAATTTAAAAACAGTTCTGCAATCAAAGTTGGTTATTATTCATTATAATTCATTTTGAACTCCTAAAGATTTCCATGTACCATCCTGGTACAAAGGTGGTGCCTCAAAGCTGGAACCCACAGAGATACCTTGACCAGATGTTCCCATGCCTTTCCTCAAGTGTGCTTGGTAGAAAAATCAATAGGGTAGAAAAGAGTACACAAGTCCATGGAAAATTATTCCCTCAGCCTAAATCCCAAAGCTACCTGTTGCTCCTGAGCACATAAAGCTGCCAGGAGTATGAGGACTCCAGGCACCCGAGGCGTGTTCTGCTCACTGCTCACTCTGGGTTATGGTGGCATAAACCACTCTAAAGTGGAACACCACCAAGTGCCAAGAAAACATAGTTTCATTCAGCTGGTGGAGTCAATATCTACTAAGAGCACTGGACCAAGAGCAAAATCAAAGGTATCTGAGACATTTTTAAATTTTCAAGATTGTCCCCAGTATCAGAAAGAGATAACAATAATCTAAGAGGACTGCTGGTATGAGAAGAGGAAATGAGCCAGACTTGTGTGAGGCACAAAAACATGCAATGGGGCTGGAGTTAGAGTTAGGTTAGAATGAATGGGCACCTGAGAGAGGTCAGAGGGTCAGAGTCTGTAGGTAGGGACTTATAGACCCTGACAAAGACTTTGGGTTTTCAGTGGGCTCATTACCAGAAGACTGGCTGTTTTATAAACCTCGTTGCTATGCATAAACATTCATGCTCTGAAAGTTCTGAGTGGCTTTCATTTCAATTACACAGGTACATGTGTAGGCTACTACTATGAAAATCCAGGTATGCACCACCATGCTTTAACAGATCCTGCCTGGCCCTTGGCACCTCTGCTTTGCCTTTTAAAGAAACGAAATATTACAGATACAGGTGAGCCCCTTCTCCACTCCCACTCTTGTTCCAAATTCTGCCTCCCCAAGGTAAATACCACCCAGAAGCTGGCATTTACCACTTCCATGTTTACAAGATCACCCACACAGTTGGCCCAAGTGGATTGTCAGACCAAAGAACAGAATAGCTGTGATCATTCTTCCACATCCTTGTTCACATTGATGTTATGAGAATTTCAACCTTTGGTGTTTTTATTTTCAATTTGCATATATTTGTTGGCTATATTTCTTCTTCTTTCCTTGCATGTTTGTATTTCTTTCTTTTGTGTCATCTTAACTTTCTTTACATAGAAATTAGTTATTACTTTTTATAGCAAGAGTTAAATTTGGTGACATTGAGAAGCTGCTGTTCTTCCCTTAGATTTTTTTTTAAATCCACACATTCTTTCCTCAAAATATTCAGTTTTAAAAGTTGGGTATTCTATTACTATGTTTGATCAGCATGTCAGTGGTATATGTCGGCATTAAATTCTAGAAACCAAATTACAGGACATTTTCCCCCTCAACACTGTTCTTGGTGTCTGCTCTCAATTAGGTTGCCTTTGCTTTGGGACTAGTCTGTATTTTTTCTTCGACAGGTAAAGATTTTCATTTTACCCTCAATGTTCTGAAGTTTTACCTCAAAGTGTTTAGGCATTGATTTTATTGTTGTTTATCCAGATAGGTTCTCAGAGTGTCCTTTCAACGTGAGGAGTCTTGTCTTCAATTCTAAAATAATCTCAGCTATTATTTCTTCACATAATCTGATGTTTTCTTTCTCTCTCATTCTCTCTTTCTTTCCACTCACACACACTTCTAAAAATCTTATTTTCCCATGACTGCATTTTAGGTGATTTCCTAAGTAATAGCTTCCAAATGAAAAAAGATCTGTCACTGTCAAGTCTAGAGTTTATACTTTCTACTGGGATTTTATTTCAATGACTGTCTTTAATTTCCAAGATTTCTGCCTATTCTTATTTCATTTCTACCACTAACAGGTAAACTCCCTATGAGAATGTAAACTGTCTATGTGGATGTGGTTTTTATTTACTTGGGTTCATTCCTACATCTCCGGCATATAACAGTGTGTGGACAATAGTAAAATCTTAATAAATATTTGTAAATAAATAAATAATTAGATCACTGACTATTTTTATTTCAGGATTTTCTACCTTTTTACAGATGGCAATCCTTTGTTTATATTTTGAGCATCCAAAATACGCTCTCCCAGGCTGTTTCAATATTTTAATTTCTTCCAGTAAAATTTATTCTCAATGGTCAAATCCATTGGCTCTTTCCTAGTGTAAGGCTTTCTCATGTGCTTTGGAATTTTGCTTTGCAGGTTCATTTGAAGTCAGAAGATTTTTTATTTAGTTTTATTTAGCTTTTTGATATACCTCCAACCCCCATCTCTCATTATCCTTCTCTTACAAATGATTTTGTGCTCATTAGGTGCCCAGAACCACTCATACAAAATCAGTTTCATACTGGTAATTCGAGTATTAAATTATGCTGACATCTGAATTATTACCACTTTAGTGAGCCAGTGAGTGACTTGGTTCAATTCCCAGTTTACTGGTGATGCTGCTTTCTTCCTGCCATGTAAGGCTTTCCTAGCATCAAAAGCTATAGTCTTAAGTAGTGGGCAGCAGGTTTCTCATCCTTGCTCAGAAGCAGACGAGTCCTTCTCTATGTCCTGGCTTCAAACTATAAGGCTGGCTCTGGATCTCCATCTAGTGTAGAACGACTTCAATCTCTTATTAGCCTAGAAGAAGTCATACTGGCCCTTCTGTCCACCTCCAGAGGCCTCAGCATAGCTCACAACTCATCACTTGCATTTTCTTTTGATTTGTGGGCCGCTGAGATGATAAATCATGAGCTCAGCTGTGACTTTTACATTTTCTGACTTTGTATTTTACCTAGCATTGCTAGATGCTTGGAACGAAGGTGGTGCTTCAAAGCCAGAACCTGCAGAGACACCTTGATCAATGTCCTCATGCTTTTCCTCAAGTGTGCTTGGCGGAGAGAGTAAAGCAATTAAAAGAAGTGCGCAAGTTCAGGGACAAATTATTTAGCCTCCCAGGGTCTCAAGTACCTCATTTTTACAATGTATATTAAAGTTGCCTAACATATATATATAGCATAACGTTGACTATTAATCAAAATAAGTACTCAGTATTGTGGTAAGCAAATGTAATTTGCTTACACGTAATTTGCTTACACAAGTAATTGCTATTGACAATTACTTGTGTAAGCAAGTAATTACTTGCTTACTATTCAATTACTATTCAAGGACACACAGTGGGAGGCATCCCCTGGAGCATTTTTAAGGCATAGCAAGGAATAAAAATAAGACCCAAACTTTCTCCTTTCCCCTAAGGCCACCTACAATATTTTCTGTTACATATAAAAAGTGAAAATTAAAGTAGGTACTTGGAATCTACATAATTCCATGATCAGGGCACAAATAGTGGTTCAGGTCTAAAAAGAAAAGAACCTTTCTTTAGGTTAAAGAAGACTGTTGGGTGGCTCAGTCGGTTAACATCTGCCTTCAGCTCAGGTCATGATCCCAGGGTCCCGGGATTGAGCCCCACATTGGACTCCCTGCTCAATGGAGAGTCTGCTTCTCCTCTGC